CAAACATAGTGGAGAGCATTTCTTCTTTGTCAATCCTCTTTCAAACACAGCATTTGATACAAAATTAGGCATGGTTGCTGGATAAGCTGGCAGGGTAGAAATGTCAGCATAAATTAAAAATTCTATTTGTACTAGTAACGTTCGTTTATATCTGCCCCCCTTTCAATATCTTGGCTGCAATATTTATAACACACACGCACATATAATTATATAGAACACATAAAATTTCCACTATTATTACTCAATTTTAGAGTATTTTGATAAATAATATTAATTATTTATAACACACGCTCATATAATTATATAAAACAATAAAATTTTCACTATTATTACTCAATTACTAAAAAACTATGATAATTCGACATATAGCGTCTGTGTTGACGCTAACCTTAAAGGACGCCAAACCGACGCGACGAAAGAGAAAGGGACAAACATATACGTTTAGAGGTCTCAAGCCGTGCGCGTATGAGAGCGACATGTTCGTGAACCGTGCGTTATGCCTGCTCGAGTCCTTTGGGTTTTAGACGTCCCGTTGCATGCAATTCGGATATTCATAGGATATCGCGATATTAGGAGATTGTGAGGACAAGAGGGATATTCCCTGGCATGTCTTGTGCTGTCTGGGTATATACTTAAAATTACAAAACTACAGAATGTAAATTTGAATTTTAAAAATTTGATTAAACTACAAAAATTAACAGTGCTAACAAATTTCTACTTAACAGGATGGAATTAACTGTTTTATTTTAATTATAAAATTTGAAAATAAGTATTATGGAATGTTCTTGGGAACCTTTGTTTATCCAATTTAAACCATTTCACTGCGTTTTGTTTGCTAATGTATCTGAAACAGAACCAAACAGGTTAGAAACAATTGGAACAAATTGTTTATTGATAATATTGATTTAAATTTTTTGTAACATCACCTCTAATAATATTCATTATTTTCAAGTTATTGACAGCTAGGCAGTCCTTTCAACCATACCAAAAACATGTTATTTTTTCATCGAATTACACTTTAGACAATAAAGGAGATTTTAGTCTCTGAATTTTTAAATATATTTTTGCTGAAGTAAAAACAATAGAAGGTTATGATTTGGAAATATTGTGATTATTAATATAAATTGTAACAATACTTCTAATTACCTATAATTACTTTCATTATTTATTAAGAACATATAGCAGCTAATTCTTTTATGAACATATTGCTCAAATATTGTGTTAATTGTTTCTTGTCAGTTTAGCCGAATTTCATCCACCGACTTTTAAATCATAATTTTGCTAAAACTAAATCATAATAAATCAATACTAAATCATCTAATCATCTCTAACTACCATAATGGGGTATACCAATTCCACGACACACAACACGAGTGTCATCATTTAGTGTTGTAAAAAATGTTATTCTTCTTCATATCATTTTCTCTTGATGATGGTGGATCATTATTTCATATTCTAACTTTGCATTCATATTCTTTATTTGATCAGGTTATTGACAGCTAGGCAGTCCTTTCAGTCATACCAAAAACATATTAATTCTTCATCGAATTACACTTTAGACAATAAAGGAGATTTTAGTCTCTGAATTTTTAAATATATTTTTGCTGAAGTAAAAACAATAGAAAGTTATGATTTGGAAATATTGTGATTATTAATATAAATTGTAACAATACTTCTAATTACCTCTAATTACTTTCATTATTTATTAAGAACATATAGCAGCTAATTCTTTCATGAACATATTGCTCAAGTATTGTGTTAATTGTTTCTTGTCAGTTCAGCCGAATTTCATCCACCGACTTTTAAATCATAATTTTGCTAAAACTAAATCATAATAAGTTAATACTAAATCATCTAATCATTTCTAACTACCATAATGGGGTATACCAATTACACGACACACAACACGAGTGTCATCATTTAATGTTGTAAAAAATGTTATTCTTCTTCATATCATTTTCTCTTGATGATGGTGGATTATTATTTTATATTCTAACTTTGCATTCATATTCTTTATTTGAGCAGGTTATTGACAGCTAGGCAGTCGTTTCTACCATACCAAAAACATATTAATTCTTCATCTAATTATACTTTAGACATTGAAAAAGATTTTTGTCTCTGAATTTTTAAATATATTTTTGCTAAAATGAAAACAATAGACAGTTATGAATTGGAAATATTGTAATTATTAATATCAATTGTAACAATACTTCTAATTACCTCTATTTACTTTCATTATTTATTAAAAACAAATTGCAGCTAATTCTTTTATGAACATATTGCTCAAATGTTGTCTTAATTGTTTCTTGTCAGTTCAGCCGAATTCTATCCACCGACTTTTAAATCATAATTTTGCTAAAACTAAATCGTAATAAATTAATACTAAATCATCTAATCATCTCTAACTACCATAATGGGGTATACCAATTACACGACACACAACACGAGTGTCATCATTTAATGTTGTAAAAAATGTTATTCTTTTTCAAATCATTTTCTCCTGATGATGGTGGATTATTATTCTATATTCTAACTTTGAAATCATATTCTTTATTTATCAGTAGAACATGTATTTATCTTTTTGACAGTTTTGTGAAACAGCTGTACCACACCGTCCATTTTGTATGTTAAATTTACAAAACAGTGTAACGTAACGGTTACATTATAAAGAAAAACGACACATTTACGTTTAAAGGTTATAATTAAACGTAACAATTACGTTTTTTTAACGTATCTTCTGTGCTACGTTATTTTAACTTTATTTGACGTTTGTGGTTTAGGGGAGGTAGGGGAGCATTGGGCACTTTATTACATAAATGTTAATAAAACTGTTATTTTTTATCATAATCAAAATTTTATTCCTAATATTTGGAGCACACATATTTGGTAGTAATTATTATTAAGAAAAGTTTCAATATTGTAATTAGTTAGGGAGGTTTGGGCACTGTATTCAATATGCACGAAATTGCTTTACTATACTACTAGGCTTAAGTATTATATAACATTACTATAAAAAATTGTAATACAAACATTTTTTCTTATCATAGATTTTAGAAAAATTTAACAATGTGACTTAGAATCAGTACTGCACGATGTTAGACTTAATTAAACTTATTAACTTCCCGAAGGAGAAGTTTATGTTTTCATCAAAAAATCCGAATCGCTAATTTTATGTTTTCTCGACGTTTCAAGCCATTCTGAATCGAATGAGACCAAATTTGGAAAAAGTATGTGTGTGTGTGTGTATGTGTGTGTGTGTGTATGTGTATGTGTGTGTGTGTATGTGTGTGTGTGAACAGATTTTTTGCCGTAAATCGACGTTTTCTCCAAAACGGCTGGACCGATTTCAAAAATTTAAAAGCCATTTGATGTATCTCGATGAGGACTATCGTCTCTGAGTTTTGTGCGGCGATCGGCCGGGCCGTTTCTTTGTAAATTGCAGAAAAGTGAAAAATTATTCGTCCACGTTTTAGCCCGCAATTCTGAATCGATTCTGAAAATTCAAAAACCATTCAATAGATATTGGTTGGGAATCGTGCTGATTAGTTTTTGGTAAAGATCGGCCGGGCCGTTTTCTTATAATAAAGTTTTTAAAAAAAAAATTTCGACGATTTTTATGATTATTTTTTTGACGATAAATACCATAGTTTTCTAGGTCATACTAAAATATTACGGTCCTACAACTGGTTCAGCTTTAAAAATTCGTCAAAGTTTGCAAAAATCAGTATGGTCTTTTTGGCATTTGTCAAAATTAGACTTTTGATCGACGTTTTCTCAAAAACGCCTGAACCGATTTTAGAAATTTAAAAGCCATTTGATGTATTCGGTGAGGACTATCGTTTGTCAGTTTTGTGCAACGATCTGCCAAGCCGTTTCTTTGTAATTTGAAAAAAAGTGTTATACTTTTCGTCCACATTTAAGCTCATCCTACCGAACCGATTTTAAAAAATCAAGAATTGTTTGAAAGATATTAGTTGGGAATGGTACTGATAAATTTTAGGTGAAAATCTATTGAGCCGTTTTCTTGTAATTAATCGTTGAAAAAAAGTGTTAAATTTTCGTCCACATTTAAGCTCATCCTACCGAACCGATTTTAAAAAATCAAAAACTGTTCGAAAGATATTACTTGGGAATGATACTTATTAATTTTAGGTGAAAATCTACCGAGCCGTTTTCTTGTAATTAACTGTTGAAAAAAAGTGTTAAATTTTCGTCCACATTTAAGCTCATCCTACCGAAACGATTTTAAAAAATCAAAAACTGTTCGAAAGATATTAGTTGGGAATAGTACTGATTAATTTTAGGCGAAAATCTACCGAGCCGTTTTCTTGTAATGAACTGTTGAAAAAAAAAATTTAAGCCGATTTTTATGGAACTTTTGTTGGCGATATACATCATGGTCTTATAGAACTTACTGTAATATTACGGCATTACGACAAGTAGTTTAATTTTAAAAATTCGTCAAACTTTGCTAAAATTATTATCGTTTTTTAAAGTAGGATTGATGAAGTATATTATTTACACTTTTTTTTGATTAAGTCAATTATTTACACATATCGGGAAGTTCATGTAACTTGCCTCAAGGCTAAATACCAAACCAACTAGTCTTATATTTGGTATGATCCATAGAGGCTTGTCAAATTTATATTTTAAGCTGCCACGTTTCATTCATGTCGTTGGTGTAGGCAATTTTGTCTTTATATCCTCCAGGAGGACACTGGCTACGTCCTCGATGTCAGGAAATGTAAAAGTATTTCTTAACTTACTCACTCTCATAAATTTTACAGTTGCCATCGTCTGATTAACATCTTCGATTATTCCAACATAATGGTAGACAGTTTTTTTGGTGTCAAATTTCACTAATACAAAGTTATTGATCTGGAAATTTCTATCCAGAACGATCACATCGTCTTCATCAAAATCTTCCGATTCAACAACGGTTTCGTCAGAAACTGAAACATTTTCTATTTCATCATCGCTGCTAATTTTCCTGTTTTTCTCTAGTTTGGAAGTAAATTCATCAGCAAGTTTCGGATTTTTTTCTGTCCTGTATTTTTGAAGCATTTTCTATTTTTGTTGAGCTCTTTGATCTTATTTTTTCTTTGTCTTTCTTCTTCTTCCATTTCTATAAGTCTTTTCTCGGGCGTGTCCGTCAATATTCTAGTTTTTCCCTTCTTCCGTTTCATACCCTGCAATTTCCTGGGGCCGGCCTTCGGATACGGTCTTACTACATCAGGTGTTACATTGACAGTGCCACTAATTTGACTTGTAGAGGGAGATTCCAGTTGAGATGGCCCAATGACTTCCACATTTGAACTTGTACGATCCTCTAGACTCTGATTTTCCCCTGTTGAAGGCTGTTCAGTGACAGGTTGGTCTGAAATAGATTGTTCTGAAGGAACATTACCCTCTTCCGACAAGCAGCGATCAGTTATAAAAGAACAAGCGAAATCTTCATCGGAGAAAATATTTGAATTCAATGGCCATATGCCAGATTTTTCAAATCCACTTTGAATATTCTGCAACTTGAATGCTAGTGGAATGGCTTTTGCTGCTAATTTTGGTATTTCATAAATTGTTACTGTTTTGGCCGGATTGCTTACCATCCAATCTGTTACAGCAGTGTTATAATAAGTTTTCAGTGGTCCATAGACAGTCAGGTCTAGAGGTTGCAGTTTATGGCTGCAGTGTGGTGGGAAAGTCATTAAAATAATGCCTGATTGTTTGCAAAAATCGAGAACTGGTACTGAAATATAGCTCTCATGATTGTCCAGCAGCAAACGAACTGGCGATGAAGGCGTTGGTTTTGCGTGTTTGGCGAAATGGTGAATATATTTTAAAAAATTTGGTGATGTCATCCACCCTGAAGGATGTGCTGCTCCATCTGAACCAACAGGGGCATCATTTAGCATATATGTTTTGAAATTAACCCGTGGGAATATGAAAAATGGTGGTATTGAGTTACCCAATGCATTAATACCGCAGCAAACCGTTACAAGCGTCCCTCTTTCAGCTGACGTTACTTGCCCAATTTGCTTAGTGCCTCTGAGAGCAATCACTTTCTGGGTTCGTTGCACCGTTGATAATCTAATTTCGTCTATATTGTAAATAGACTCAGGGCCGAAGCGATGCCGTTCATACACAGTTTTAAGATTTTCAAAAAAATTTCCGACATTTGTCTTATTGAAGCTTGTGGCCCGTGACAGACTGGTAGCCTCTGGTGTCCTTATCGAAAGTTGAGGCTGTCTTTTAAAAAATCCCCTTATCCAGTCTTTGGATGCAAGTTTCTTCTCTGTCCAGTTATCTGGTATTTTCTTTTTAATGGCAGTGGCGTATTCATAAACCAATTCGCATGTTTTCAGTTTTGATAGCCCATGGTTTAGTTTAAAAGATGTTACAAGATATTCCGAAATTTTCTCTTCTTCATCTTTTGTGAATATTTGAGACGATATAAATTTACAAGAATTATCTTTTACGACACCACCCTGCTTGATATACCTTTGAAGGTTAGATCTTGGTATGTCATATTTATTCGCAGTACTTTTAATTTTAGCACCTTTGGAAACTTCTTCCAATGCGCGCAAAATAATATCTTTAGGGATTTCACGTCGCTTATTTTTCTTTTTAAATGAAAACGGCATTGTCCTAAAAAGGAATGATTAACCACTCAATCCAATAGGCATAGCAAAAAGACACCAAAATACACTAAAAACAGAGGGAGCATTGGGCATGCCCAAACCTCCCTCCTACCTGCGTGCCCAATGCTCCCCATAACCTCACTTTTCAAATAGATTAGAATAAGATTATTTTTATCAAATGTAGAAACTTAATTTACAGGCAAATATAATATTCATTAAACACAAAAGAAAAAGATAACACAGATACTTACACGTTCTTGCAGATTTCTTTGATAAGTTACATCAAATCACAAATAAAATATTTACTTCTGTACGCAGCAAACCGTTACGCGCATGTAACTTGACAACCAAGTGAAATGACAGCTGACACTTTAGATAAGCGGTGTTGCTAGTGAATAATGTATAGTGCTGTGGTAGAAAACAAAAAATATCTATGAAAGTTTTGGAGAAATGAGGGGGTGCCCAAACCTCCCGACTGCCCAATGCTCCCCTACAGAAAGTTAATATTTAAAAAATAGGTAACTACTTACTTGCATAACCCACCATGATAAATGGATAGTGTTTCCAATTTTTGGATGGACTTTTTAAATTCTCGAGCCATTTACGCATTTTCTTGTATTCGAATGGCTTAGGAAAACATGTAAAATCTTGACCTTCTTCGTGGAATAACCACGAGGATGGCACAAGATCTACCATATTTTTTTCTTGTTCATGTTCGAATTGCACAATCGTTTAAATTTTATCGGAATCCATTCCTAATAAATAATTTGCATACTTTCTTCACTAAAGTCTAAACGCAACTAAATCGAGTAGACGAACATGTGCTTTTGCTGTACTAAATGGTTATAATACACCAAAACAATCCCAAAACAGTATTAGTATTGAAAATATGCAGATTGTTACATGAGAGTAAATTTAAAAAGTTCTAAATCATATGTAACTAAGTATACTACTGATTCATATAAACAAAAATTAATCATTAATAACTTAATATATTGTTTGTTATATTGTTCAATATAAGAAAGCTATGTTGTGGTTTGTATCTGCACTACTTCTTCTGAAAATTGTGTTCAACATATATTCTTATATCCGACGCATGTGTTGGAAATGTGGAATAAGGTTTTTCAGGCGTCATTCTATTTATGCATACAATGAGATCATTCATATTTTCCTTTTTACAATCACTCCCTTTAATTTTTTTTATTTGTTCTACTCCATTAGGATTTAATAAGATAATGTTATTTGGAAATTTATTCGAAAATATGTAAAAGTTATAAAAGAAATTTTGATGAACGTCTGTTTCATTCACATTATTTAATCCTAGGGTGTTTTCTGTTCTAGTAAAGATCTATGTTCTGTGTATTTACTATAAATCTTTCCTAAATAAGTATTGAATGCTTCAATTTGTATTAAATGCTTTGCTCGTCATGTATCTCGCGAACGTGAAGATATAAGAAGCTGCTGCACTTAAATTGCTTGAGGCAATGTGAACACACAGTTTTTACTACTCATGTTACGACGACCACTATAATGCAGCCTGAGTAAGAATTATAAAGCCTTTAAATAAGCATTATGAGAAGAGCTACCTATCACTATATATAAAACTGAGCCTTAACCCATTTAATAGGAAAACCAAAACCTACTTTGAATAAGAAATACTAAATTGATTCACCACCAATGTTCACCACGTTTTGTGTTTAGCTCAAAGTTGGTCTGACTTCTCATTTATATATTTTCTATATTATTTGATATTACGCGTCTATAGATATCCCATCGTGATATCTGACTCGCGATCACCGTACAACTTCAATATTATTATTATTGAACTTATTAAGTATATTAAGTTCAATATTATTAAACTTATAATCTAACATACTTACAGATAAAATGCAAAAATTTCTCTTGAATTAATTAACATAGTTCAATTTGAAAGGATGTGGTAAACTTGATTCAATAAGTGTTTTTTTTTAGAAGATGTGATAAAGATTATATTACTCGCTCTGAAGAAACTTTTTTAGCCAATTATTATGTACTTGTACTCGTTTATTTTAGACTAAAATAGTACTCTTTATATAACCAGTCTTTAAAATTTTGCATGCTCCTTTTTCATAAAGTTAAAAGCTTCTTACATCTCCGCGGGTATGAAGTTTCGTCTCTTAGAAGTAGCCGGTCCACCTTTAAATCCAAACCGTAGTCGTTTATATTCAGTATGTTCAAAGTCAGTAGAAACCGTAGTCGTTTTTCTGCCACTTTCATTTCTCTAGATTTTTCCGCGGCCTGTTCTTATTCTTTCACTTCATCTATATATTGTATAATTGTCTGTCAACTTGTCCTCTTTGGTTTCATTACGTGGAAACTATATATATATATATATATATATATATATATATATATAGTTTTGTTAATTGTAAGGTTACTAATTTAAAATGTTATTCAACAAAAATAAAATTACTTACTTCCGAAAATTCTTCCAAATGCTCTTCCGTACTCCTTCACAGAGCCCTCATATTTGTATAGTGTCGATCATCTAAAAATGTACACTTTTTCTGCGTGGGAATTATTACATTGACTATTTAAAATTTTATTAGATTTATTATAATTAAAAATTGGAGGTTTGATAGTGTTTTTAGGAATAGAATTTTGTACTAAAAATGAATTAATATTAGATTTGGGTTTTGGATTCGGAGTGGCACGGGATGGAAAATGTAAGGGAATAGTTATAGAATTGTTAAAATGTAAGTTTGAATTTTTGAAATTAATATTTCCTCCATAAGAATTTAAAAAATCTATCCCCGGTATCCCATCACCCCTGAAAATTTATCTGAAACAATATAAAATTTATGGGTGATTACTTTATTCCCCAATAAAATTTTGAAATTTGCTGTCCCTATAGTCTCGACAGTACGGCCTGAGGTACAAGTAACGTTGATTTTGTCATTTTTATTAGTATTAATATTAGTATTAATATTAGTATCATCATCCAAATTAGAAAGTTTAAGGACACTGATTTCAACACCAGTGTCTATGAGGAGGTTAATTTTAGGTTTTATAGTGTCGAGGAAATTTAAATTGAATAGGGAAGGCTTTGTGTAGTATTGAGGCAGGAAATTTGAATATTTTTAAATTCTTTAGCTTTAACAATTTCTTCAGGAGTAGAAGAAGTAGAAGTAGTAGGTTTGTTGTCTAAAATTTCTATATTATTAATTTTGGAACGATTCTGTTCATTATAAAGTCTCCTTCGAGAATCGTTAATTATGTGGCCAATGCCTTTACAATAATTACAATTAAGGAGCTCAGACTTGGTAGGTTTGTGATCAAAGGAATTATGAGAAGTACTTATACGATTGAAAGGTTTGTGATTGGATGAATTATACGAAAGGTTAGTGGATTTGAAAGGTTTCTCAAAACGGGAGAAACTTGATTTGGACGTTTTTAAAGAAATCTCCTCCTCGACAGCTATGGAAATGGCAGAATGTAAACTTTGAGGAGATTTACAATTATCTACAATTTTAAGATTAGGGTGCTGCCTTAAAATAACCTGCAGACGCATAGAATAGTAGGACTGTACATCTTCGTGTGATTGCTGATAAATTTTATTAAATTCAATCTGTAGTGAGGCTACAGATCTGATATCAAAAAATGACTCGTCCAAGCAAGTTTTTATTTCAAAAAGTGAATTTATAGATTTATATTGGGTAGCTTGAAGAGCTTTTCCTTCTAATTTTGCAAATAAAATAAATTTTATGAGAGCCGGGTGATCCTTCGGATCAGCACTCTCAAAAACATAAGATAGAAAATTAAGAAATGGAGATAACTTTTGGTTATCCTAGCCATTAAAAACTTTAATTATGTCCATTGTTCGGCGCATTGTTAATGCATAAGATTCTGCCATTTTAAGGTTAGTATTAGAAAATGGAAAACAGAGAGAAGGAGCAGATGAAAATTTGGAAAAGGATATAGATTTAGGTGAGACCACTACAGTATTATTAAAAACTGAACTTACTAAATTTGGTCTGAGATTGTTCGTCGACTCGACAGATAGGTATGCCTCAAATATTGAATCAGTTGATCTGCTTATTACACTCTGTTGCGGCAGCAAGAAGTTTTCTGCATCACGAGATTTGGACATTTACTCTATATTAAACAAAATGGAGTTAGTAACATGAAAAAATAGATGAATATAAAATATAGAGATAATAAATATTGAAAAGAATTTGTAAAATCTGAAGAATAATATATAAATTTGTGGTTTAAAAAGATAGCATATAAAATTCTCAATGTATTAATCCTAAAGGATAGTAATAAAATAATATAAGTAATCTTAAAAATACGGCATATAAAATTATGTATCTAAAAATAGTAAATATAAGTATTGTAAAGGATAGTATAAACTTGATAATCTAGAGGTTTGTGGAAAAATAATCTATCTAAAGGTTTGTGAAAAAAACGGCGATACTTAAATCTAGAATTGTTGTCTAAAAATTTGGTAGAAAACTATAAACTATTGATACTCGTCTGTCCTGCTACTAGGGACGCCGACGCTAGCTAGGTTTGCAAGATGGCGGCCAGGTTCGCGCGCGCGTGGTATATAAGGTAATCGGCTTACTTGCTTTTTCCAGTGTAATCGGCTTACTTGCTTTTTTCCAGTGTAATCAGCTCCCTTGCTTACTTTTCTGTGATTTCCTCGTTCTCCAGGCCTGTTTTTTCCGGTAGTTTATGGTTTTATCCCACCGCTGCCACCAATGTTGTATTAAGTTGCCTTGCAGCGGAGATTTAATAGAGGAAAACACTTCAAGTCCTTTATAGACTAATGGACAAACTTTTATTTACTTTAAGTACAATAATCTCAAGAATAAATTATATGAAATGTTATTTAGTTTGATTTGGTATCGCCGATCCGTGGTTCCAAGAGAGATAGTGAATCCTGCATGTGCATCTTAGGTCTGACTCCTTCGGATATCTTCGGGTATCTCCGATACCCTTCGCCTGTCCTAGCTAGTGGT